AAATCTTTTCTAAAGCATTTAAATGTCTTTACTGTCACTTTTAATCAATTTAATGCGTCCTCTCGGAATAAAAGTATTAATTTAAATTATAATATTAATTAAATATATTGAATCTAATAATAATGTATTATAAATGTTTACACACTTTTTTTAAAGTCTCTGGCTTTATATCTTAATCTGTGAATTTCATAATTTAAACTATCTTGTAGTTGCCTTTTCATCTGTTTTTATTGCAGTTAATGGAATATGTAAATAACAATATTAGTATTATTAAACAGTATTAAAATTCAAAACCAATTCAGTGACTACAACCGATGTAAATAACATTTTAACATTTATTTATTTATTTATTTATATATATATATATATATATATATATATATAATTTAAATATATATTAAATTAATATAATTAAATAATATATAAATATAAATACATTATATATTAAATTAATGAAATTATTATAATCTATACATTTTATTTCAAGTGTGGGACTTTATATCTTACATATTTACATTTTTAGAATTTTATTAATTGCACTTAATGAAATATATAAATCATAACACGTGTGTGTGTGTGTGTGTACACATTTTTCTATCCTGGTGGGGACTTAAACCTGAATACACACCGACTCATGGGGACTCAAACTCATGGGGAAACAAGCTCATAAATCATACAGAATGAGTTTTTGAGAATGTAAAAATGCAGGGGTTTTCTGTGGGGGGTAGGTTTAGGTGTAGGACGATAGAATATACGGTTTGTACAGTAGAAGAAACATTATGCCTATGGAGAGTCCCCACAAGGATAGTGAACCAGATGTGTGTGTGTGTGTGGACTGCAGGTCCAGATCTAGAGTTCAGCATGCATGACGGCACCATCAGAGACCTGGCGTTTATGGAGGGTCCTGAGAGCGGAGGGGCCATCCTGATCAGTGCTGGGGCTGGAGACTGTTACATCTACACCACTGACTGCCAGAGAGGACAGGGGCTGCACGCACTCAGTGGACACACAGGTACACACACACACACACCATCCTCTTCATGCATGAACAGGATGTCATGTTGTGTTGTATGATCTGACATGCCGTTGCAGGACACATCCTGTCTCTGTACACGTGGGGCGGGTGGATGATCGCCTCCGGCTCTCAGGATAAGACAGTGAGGTTTTGGGACCTGCGTGTGCCCAGCTGTGTGAAGGTGGTTGGGACGGCCCAGCATGGAACAGGTGTGTGTTTCCTCTCTGCTCCTTTACAAGGCTTTATTTTTTTTTTACCTTCTTAGCTGTTTGGGATTTATGGGATAACAATTTCTAGAGATCGTTCAAACCATATTCAGAGTGATTTGTCAATTAATAATTCAGATCATTTTGTAAATTATTTTGACCGATTCATTGAAAAGAACTGATGCAAATAAAATGTCAGTTCTTTTCACTTAATTAATTTTGAAATGTAATACTGTTTAATAAAAATAATACAGTATTTGATAAAAATATTACAATATTGACTACAAGAATAATAATTATAATTGTATTCATATTAATTTTAGAATTATTAAACTATATTAAACTTAAAAACCAGTTCAGTTACAAAAACCAATGTAAAAAATAATAACAACAAAATAATAAAATAATAATCAGAATACTATTAATCTTAGTTTTACAGAATATTAAAGTTCAAAATCAATTCAGTGACAATGCAAAAAAAAAAATATAATAATAAAACATAATTTTTTTATATGATAATAAAATAGCAACTAACTAACAACAACAGTAATTATAATATTTATTATTATTATTATTATATTAATATAACTATATTATATGGTGATAATAATAGCAACCATTATTACTAATAATAAAATACTATGATTATAATAATACTAACAATGATTAGTATTAAAACTACTAAATACAATATACCAATATACGTGACAAAGACCAATGCGAATAAATAAATGCAATATAACAACACTAACAATAATAATCGAATGCCGTCCATGTATTTTGTTATTGAATCTGTCTTTGCGCAGATGTATGGATCATATACTGTAGATTATTGTGTCATGTGACAGGAAGTGCTGTGGCCTCGGTGGCAGTGGATCCCAGTGGGCGGCTCATGGCCACCGGATTGGAGGACTGTCGCTGCATGCTTTATGACATCAGAGGAGGTCGAAGCGTCCAGGCGTATCAGCAGCACACCAGCGACGTGCGTTCTGTGCGCTTCTCTCCTGCTGCTCACTACCTGCTCACCGGCTCCTACGACAACAAAGTCATGATCGCTGACCTTCAAGGTAGGTCACGCCACAAATAATGTCATCATTATTTCTTATTTGTCAGCCCTCTCTCCAACCACCTATCATAAGTCCACTGATCTAATCAAGCATTAATAAAAAATTATATTTTCACTCAAAATTGTCACATTATAGATGTAATATAGCTTGTGAATGCCATTTCATATCAGCTTTTTTCAGTAAATTGGTTTTGGACTTTTTTAATTATTACTATTATTATTAATTATGATTATTATATTTGATTATTAATTATTATTACACAATTGAAAAAAATGAAAGTCAGTTCTTTTAACTGAATTAACGTTGAATTTTATTATTATTTTATAATAATAATAAAATAATAATAATTATTATTATTATATATATTAATAATTGATATAGTGTTAAAATTCTAATGCTTATAATGCTTTTTTTAATAACAATAATAAGGATAATAATAATAACTATATTCAAATTAAAAAACAATTCAATAAATAAATAATGTGAGCTCTTTTAATAATAATAATTATTATTATTATTATCAAATTAAATCCCACTGTTCTTTCGTCATATTACAGAAATAATGCCTGGCTTATGAATGCCATTTCATATTTTTGTTTACGTTTTTAATTGTATTATCATTATTTTTATTAATTGCAATATTAAAACAATTAAATATATATTATTATTGTATATAATTGTATATTATTGAACAACAATTTTTATTTTTATTTTTAGTGCAGTGGGATTTATAATAATAATAATAATAATAGTAGTAGTAGTAGTAGTAGTCATAGTAATAACAGTTAGTATAATAATAATAATAATAATAATAAAAAAAAATATATATATATATATAATAATAATAATAATAATAATAATAATAATAATAATAATAATAATAATAATAATAATAATAATAATAATAATAATAATAATAATAATAATAATAATAATAAGGGGACACTATACTGTCAACAACCACCGTCCTTCGGATGAGACGTTAAACCGAGGTCCTGACTCTCTGTGGTCATTAAAAATCCCAGGATGTCTTTCGAAAAGAGTAGAGGTGTGACCTCAGCATCCTGGCCAAATTTGCCCATTGGCCTCTGATCATTATGGCCTCCTAACAATCCCCATATCTACTGATTGGCTTCATCAGTCTGTCTCCTCTCCACCAATAAGCTAGTGTGTGTGGTGGGCGTTCTGGCGCACTACGGCTGCCGTCGCATCATCCAGGTGGATGCTGCACACTGGTGGTGGATGAGGAGATACCCCCTGACAATGTAAAGCGCTTTGAGTGCTTAGAAAAGCGCTATATAAATGTAATGAATTATTATTATTAATAATAATAATATAAATCTCACTATACTTTTTATGTCACATTCTGGAAGTAAAATTAGCAAATGCCATTTTATGCAAATTAAACTCCCCTGTTTATCTCCAGGGGATCTGACCAAAACGCTGCCGGTCACTGTGGTCGCAGAACACGCTGATAAAGTGATCCAGTGCCGGTGGCACACCAGAGACCTGTCCTTCCTGTCCTCCTCAGCCGATAAGACGGTCACACTGTGGGCGTATCAGCCTTAACCCACAGCAGAAGCCATGTGGAAGAGCACAGAAAAACAACCTGCACTCAGATTGAGAAGGACAGATCAGAGTGTCAGTGTGTGTCAGTGTGTGTCTGTTTGTATTTCTTTGTAACTTTACTCCAGTACACTCACAAGAGAAAACAAAAGAACCGACTGTTCATTCTAGTCATGTCTACATCTGGAATTGCATGTCTACTGGAAGAAACAGCTTTATTGTCAAATGTATTGCAATTCAGAAAAAAAACTAATGAGGTTTCTTAACTTACAAACATGAATAATGTCACGCGTAGCATTGCTTCTGTATTTTGCTATTTCAATTGAACGAAACAGTCCTGAAAATGTGAGCTGAACTGTGCCTTGAGGTGATGTTCTCTGTATGTATGTCTTGTAAATAGGAGCTTTTGTATAGGTTTAAATGCTAACTCAAGGCATTAGATCATTGTATAGCACAGCACTATGGACTGTTTATGCAGCATGAATATTCATGTCTTCATTTAAATAACTGTAAATGAACCAACACTCTGTAAATACTGAGGATAAATGTTTTGTGAAAGTCGTCCTCCTCAGTGTTGTGGAAACAGTTTCATGCATTTTAGGAATGCTTTTATTTTGGATGTCATTTTCCTAATGCATATATTTATATGCATAATATGCATCACGTTTGCACATACATTTTTGTATTGATGCAGAGGACAGTTAGAGGACTCTCTCAATCACCCGATGAACAAAGTATGTATTAGTAATTTATTTGAACATGGAAATAAACAGTTTTGAAACTATAAGATTTACGTTTTTTTTTTACATTTTCATTCTAAAACTAATCTGTAATGAGATGATCACTATAATGTTCTGTACATAAATGTACCATTTAATTTGATAAAAATTACAACAATGTTTTCATTATTATTATTTTATTGTTTATATTTCATAAATGTGTATGTGTGTGTATGTATATATATATATATATATGAATGCATATACAATCATTATACGTTTTATCTCTCTCTCTCTCTATATATATATATATGTATTTTTTATTTATTTTTTGCTATTCATTTGTTTCAGTAGTCAAGGTTGAATTGTAGATAACAACACTGTCCGCTTGGGGGCGATGAGTGCCACATGAAGTTATGAAATTAAACCAACGAAGAAACTTCTTCACATATGACTGCACATAGATGTGAGTACATAGAAACCGTATTTGAGGTTTTGAACAATTACGGTTATGTTCTAGGTGTGTCTTTCTATGTGGGAGTATATGACAGCTCTCTTCCGTTCTTCCAGCATGTAAGAAAATGTTTGGTACCTTGTTCGATTGTTTTTTTTAGTTGATCTATTTTGTCATTATTTAGCCGTCACTGTGTAACTTTTATGCGGCCGATATATGTATTTAATACATTTTAAAGTAATGTAGGCTAGACAGATGATCTGGTAAACATATAATAAACAGTGTCCAAGAAAGCTGAATCTTAACTTTATTTAACTTACACTATTATAATAATCGATCAGCAGTTTTACCAGTAAGTCTGAGTTTTCTCATTGTTGTCTGTTCCAGTGGAGATTATGAAGGTGCCGAGCTGTTCGTCGTTTGGTTTCTGGAGTTTGCTCGTTTTTTGTAGTCTGTTTGTTTTTGCAAATGCAAATATCCACCAGGAGGATGAGGATGATGCATGGATTGATCCATATGACATGCTCAACTACGACCCGACGACAAAGCGCATGAGAAAACCCACAGAGGTAAAAGAAAAATGCTTTTATTAAACTAGACAGTTATTTCCTATATTACAGCTGGTTGCAGGACATTTAAATCCATTGTTGTATGGTGACCCATACTCGGAATGTGTGCTATGCACTCAACCCATCCAAGTGCACATATAAAATAAACCATATAAAATTACATTTCATATAATACATAATCTATGTATTATATGAAATTGAAAGAAATAGTTCCTCCAAAAGTGAAAACCACTATTACTCCTACATTCATTTTCAGACCAGTCCTTCTCGCACTCGTCCAAACCCAAACCAAAATTCGATATGGGATTACAATTCTGCCACAATTCTGCACGCGAAAGATCATATTTTGAGTGTGCAAAAGTGCGTTTTGCACGCGCGAACTGAGTTTTGTGGAGAAAATGTTTGTCTCGCAAAGAAGAAAGTATTTCGAGCGCACGAAAATCAATTTTGCATTTAAAATAAGTTTTTTTCACTAGCTTGCTCACCTGATGCCCACCCTCAGTGCTCGCTAACTAGCAAAGGAAAACCAGTCTCCTCTTGGCTTATATCAAAATCCTCTGGCACAAAACGCATTTATTTGCTTCTGGAGGCCTTTATTCACCCCCCCGGTGCCGTGTGGAGACTATTGACAAGAAACACCCACTCACTGCCATTATAAAGCTTGGAAGAGCCAGGTCATTTTTTATATAACTCCGATTGGATTCATCTGAAAGAAAAAAAGTAATACCCGTATGCACCGAGGATGGCTTGAGGGTGAGTAAATTATGGGATCATTTTTGGGTGAACTATCCCTTTAACTCAGTTAAACCATTTCTTTCTGACAGTTTGATTCACAGTTAGTGAGTCAACAGCTCGCTCACTGAACTCAAAGTGTGATTCGTCTTTTTATCACATAAACTCTTGTAAGCACTGTCATTTTTGCAGGGAACACAAATCTACCTCACATTATAACTTTTGTTGTTGTTGTTTTTTAACAGTCTGCCAGTTACCCAAATGTGCCAACCAAGAGGAGGGAATTCAGCTCAGACTCCTGTGAAGTGCAACAGTGTCCTGATGTGTTTGACTGCACCATTAAACTATGGGTTTTGCAAAAAGAGGTGAGAAATATGGAAATATACCTTTGTTTAGTAGGCTTCACTAACAAAATGGTACTGCCATGTTTTTGGACATGGTACAATGAAATTACCATGGTATTTTTTAAGTACTGAAGACTAGTAAACATTAACTGTTCCCTCCTGGTGGAATGACCTGCCCAACACAATCCGAGTCCTTAGCCATCTTCAGGAAACGGCTAAAGACACATCTCTTCCATCTTCATTTGACCCTCTAACTCTAGCACTCTCTATTCTAATTCTAAAAAAAACAAAAAAAAACTTGACCCTCTAACACTTGCACTCTCTATTCTTTTTCTATTCTTGCTATTGTTTTCTCAAAAAAAAGACCCTCTAACTCTAGCATTCTCTATTCTTTTTCTGTTCTTTTGACTTATTTTATTTTCATAAAAAAAGACCCTCTAATACTAGCGTTCCCTATTCTTTTTCTATTCTATCTACTTGTTTTTCTTTTTATTTATTATAAAAAAAAAAAACTTGCTACATGCACTGTGTTAGGCTACCCGAGACATGTCACAGCACTTACGTATTATTGCCCTTTTGTTGGTTTTGATTGCTTCTATTGTCTTCATTTGTAAGTCGGATTGGATAAAAGCGTCTGCTAAATGACTAATGTAAATGTAGTATTGTACCATTCTTTGAATGACTGAAAATATATTATTATTTCTTGCTGTGTTTTTAGTTTGATGAACAGAAAAAGAAGGCGACCACCACCTCTATAAATCCAGTGTGTCTTCCAGTATTCAAGCGATTCCTTTCCAGGCTCCTTAAAGAAACTTCAAAACTTGGCCTGGTATGTGACTGACTGAGTTTTCTCCAGGGAACTGATTCAACATGAATCTACATTGGTTACGGTTTTACAACTTTTCCTTTTTTTAATCTTTAGCCTGATGATGGACAGACATCCATGCATTATGACGCTGAGGTGAAGCTGTCCAAGCAGTCGCTGGTGGAGATCCAGAAGCTTTTGAATGAAGAGAACGACTGGACCACTGGAGCCATGGATGAGGCTCTCAGTCAAATTCTGCTCAGATTCAAACTCCACGAAGCCTGGAAGTGGCATTTCGAATATACATTTTATGTAGATGCTGATACCGCTCTGAAGGTCAGTTCTTGTAAAAGCATTCCAAGATAATTTAAATAATTGCATTAAAATTATTTTCAAAAGACTGTGGTGTTTTGCAGCAATCTCAGAAATAATAAATGCAATATGTGCTGTTTTTTGTTCTACAGGTTTCTTTGATTGTTCTGATTGTCGTAGCCATAATCAGCACTGAGCTCTGGTCTGTGGTCTGCTGGTTTGTCCAGTTCAGGAGAATGTTTGCTGTTTGCTTTTTTATTAGCTTGATCTGGAACTGGTTCCATCTTTATATGGTAATTATTCTTGTGCTGTTGACTGTCCAAGACTGTTTAGCTAAAGCAGTACTGATTAGATAACAATGAAGAGTTGAAAGGTGTGTTCACTGCATTGTACAATGAAGAGTTAAATTGGTTTAAATATTTCTCCATGGCTAGGTTTCCTTTGCAGAACACAAGAAGAACATTGTGGAGGTGGAGAGCTTCAATGGCAAATGCACTGGGCTGAAACAACTGGACTGGAAGGACAGTTTATCAGGTAAGGTGATTAATGTTATAAGAAGTTGTTCTCCAAAAGCTTGAATAATTTGATTATTATTCACCTGTATGTCATTCCAAACCTGTATCTTCACAGATACTTTTAAGCTCCAAAAGTATTATAGAAGTACGATTTTTCAAAATTCTGCTTTTGAGTTCCGCTGAAAAGCCTACAGATTTGAAATGACATGACGGTGAGTAAATAATGATTTAGAGATGATCTGGTGTAACTCCTTGTTTATTTAGAGTGGTACAGACGGACATGGACTCTTCAAGATGATCCTTGCAAAAAGTATTACGAGGTCCTTGTGGTGAACCCCATTTTGCTTGTGCCTCCAACAAAGGTTTGTATCTTTCTAACGACAGAAACATGATGAGAGACTAGAGGTCGACTGATAATTATGTTGTTGTGAAAATGTGCAGTGTAAAATAATCTGAACCTAAAGGCAAAAACGGTATGATGATCCATTTAGATAAATAAAAAAAACAGATACGTCCACCCTGGACTAAATAATAACACTTCCAATAAAATCTGTTCCAAAAGCTGTTATGAGAGTTGTAACCAGAGATGAAATGCATTAATAATAGATTTGTGGGGTTTTATTCTAGGCTATCACAGTCACCATAACCAGTTTCATCACGGACCCCTTGAAGCAAATTGGACAGGGAATCAGTGAGTTCCTCAGAGCCCTGCTGAAGGATCTACCAGTCACTCTCCAGTTACCTGTACTGCTCATCATTGCACTCGCCATCATTGTAAGAGCTGTGAACAGCAAACATACTGTAGGATCATTTATTTGTTATCATACTAAGGCATCTTTGCTCCTCTTAGATGTTCATGTATGGAAGTGCTCAAGCAGCTATACATCAAGCAGTCAACTTTCCTCGGCTTGGTGGCCGACGGGACCCGCCGCCTCCTGCTGTAGGACAGCGCCAAGCTCCTCAACTAGAGGAACATGAGGAAGCTTGGGAAGGAGGCGATGCTCCACAGCCACTGCAGGTGCACCAGGACAATAGAAACAGAGTAAATCAAGCAGGAAACCAAGCAGGTGACCAGGGCATCAGGGCAGGAGATGCTCTTGCCCCACAAAACAGACAGGAGGACAGAAGCATGGAACACCGACAGGAATTTTCTGGCATTCCCAGAGGGACTCAGAGAGTAGAGACTGTGCGTGCTACAGGTAACATGTCCAGCGATGATGAGACTGATTTTCAGCAGTGGACAGAGGAGGTGGATCCTGGTACAAAGGAAAATGCAGAGACTGAAGTGAAAGCTGAGGAAAAAGAGAAAACGGCATCTACTGTGGACAAAAAAGAACAGAAAGACACACGCAGTGCAGACAGAAGTGAGCCTGAAACTAATGTGCCTTTGGCTCAAACAGTTGGAGCTAATCAAGGGAATGAGGTAAGTATCGATTCATTTTTCGATCCATCATTTACATAATTCACCCAAATAAATAAATAAACAAACACAATTAAGTCTCTGAATTAAGTCTCTTAGGCTCATCAAGGCTGCTTTTGTTTGATAAAAAAATACAGTAAAAAGAGTAATATTGTGAAATTAAAATTGATCCTCTAACTCTATTCTAATTCTATTCTTTATATTAAAAAAAACTTGCACCTCTTAAGCTCGTGTGACCGGTGTAATCTGCGTTGTGTTTTTTTCTCAGAGTAGTAACCAAACGGACATCAGTTGACGGTTCGACTCTTCATTTACTGATAAAACATAAAACAGTCTTTACAGTGTGTTTTCGCCCTTCTTGTCTTTTCTCTCCCATGCAAAGACAGTGCAGAAAGGGAAGAGAAAATGGTATAAAACTGGCATACAAAATTTAAGGAGTGACAAAACTGCATACCTGATAAAACATAAAACAGTTTTAATAGTGTGTTTTCGCCCTTCTTGTCTTTTCTGTTAAATGAATGTAAAGTGCAACGCAATTAGCACGTGCTTCAAGTGTACATCCACAGATTTATTGTGTCGATCCTCAGCAGACCAGAAGTCGATGCAAGCGAGCTCCAGTGGGGCTGTGGTTTTAATACTCTCCAAGGGTGCTCTTGCGGCAGGCAGAGTTTTGCTGAAGACACACCTGGTACACTTCTTCATATAATCACGCACATCACGCTCCATATCAAGCCAGAAAAACCTCTGACGGGCCAAAGATAAAGTGCGTGGCTGCCCTTGATGACCAGCCAGGTCGTGAATGCCAGAAAGTGCTTGACATTTCAAGGTTTCAGGCAAAATTGACTGAAATCTCTTGTGCTTGGTGAGCGGGTCTTTAATAGCTCTGTACAGGATACCATTGAGCACTGAAAGTTTGTCCCACTGCTTCAGAATCCGCAACACATACAGGTTTTCATTGGCACGTTCACGTCTTGATGGTCTGCGCTTTCTGTCAGCATAATAACACACTCTGCCAATGACAGTGTCTTTGTGCTGATGTTCTCGTAAGTCGGTTAGGGAAAGGGAATGAAACACTTCTCCGTCACCGCTAATCAAAGAGTTAAAATGTTCTGTGAATGATGCTGCTCTACATTCAGTTCCTATTTCCCATTCATCACAGGAGGACAGAACTGGGGACACGTCATCGGCGGACAATTATGTATTCAGCCCAACGTCAAGTGGACCTGATCTTAATGTTAGCGTTTGGCAGGTAAGTCGGAACATTTCTTGCACACTTCCATCCTCAACACTGTGTACTTGCCTCAACAGTTCAGAATAAGGCTCTGACAGAAGCCGCTGACTTACTGGCCTGACAAACGGATTTCTACTGAGCGCGTCAGCCACCACGTTGAGTTTCCCAGGAACATATTTGATCTCAAAAGAATATGGAGCAAGTTTCGAGACCCAGCGCTGCTCACATGCATCCAATTTCGGCTTGGTCATAATGTATGTAAGCGGATTATTATCCGTCCACACTGTAAACTCATGGCCTTTAAGCCAGTGACTAAACTTGTCACACACTGCCCACTTAAGAGCCAAGAATTCTAATCTGTGTGCAGGATATTTTGTTTGGCTGCGGTTCAAAGCCTTGCTAGCAAACGCTATTGGTCTCGCCTTGTCTTCACCAGCAGGTATCTGAGAGAGTACAGCACCTAAGCCGTCTAAAGAAGCATCAGTACAGAGCAGGAATGGACGTTCAAAATCTGGATGAGCCAGCACCACACTATCGACAAGGGCCCTTTTCAGTTCTTCAAAGGCCACGTTACAGTCCGGGGTCCAGTCCTGAGATGTCAACTCCCGAAAAGTGCCTGCTCTCCTACGACCACCAGCACCTTTCATTGAAAGTTTCAGGCCAGCCGTCAGATTGAATAAGGGTCTGGCGATACGAGAACAACTTGGAATAAAGGCTTGATAGTACAGGACCATACAGAGAAACGATCTGATTTTTTTATTTTTTTTTGTGAAGGCGTGGTTCCATCTTCCCTCATTAGATCCTCCTTTCGAAAAGCAGAGATGACTTTCACTTTCTCTTCATCAACTGAAACACCAGTACCATCTATCATATGGCCTAGAAACTTTACAGACTTCCTCAGAAAGTGACACTTTTTAGGAGCTAGCTTTAGGTTGCTGGATCTCAATCGAAAAAACACGATCTCCAAGCGCCTCAGTGCCACCTGTTCAGATGGAGCGAAGACCAACAAGTCATCAAGGTAACAGAGAAGACTGGAAAAGTTAAGGTCACCGAAAATACTGAGCATCATGCGCATGAAAGATGCGGGGCTATTGCAGAGGCCCTGAGGGAGACGATTATACTCGTATAACCCCATTGGCGTTGTGAAAGCGGTGTATCGTCGGTCAGACACATGGAGTGGGATGTTGTAAAATCCTGAAGTTAAGTCCATGGTGCTGAAAAAGGCATTACCTCCTAAGGCTGCAAGACAGTCAGCTTGATGTGGTAAAGGGTGGGCGTCTTTGAAGATTTTAGCATTGAGCCAGCGGATATCGGTACAAACCCTCAGATTACCAACTTTTTTCCAGACCATCACTAAAGGTGATGCGTACTCACTGACAGAGCGTACTCACTGACAGACTTGCTGATTATGCCTTTCTCCTCCATTTCTGACAACACTTCTCTCAGTTTCTGGTAGTGGGCAGGAGGGATGCGGCGATAGGGAAGACGGAATGGGCGCTCATCATAAAGATGGATCCTGTGCATAAAATCCTTTGCCTCTCCACAATCCATTTTATCCTTGGAGAAAACATCATGGTAAAACACAACAAGAGCTGCCAGTTTTCTCTTCCACATTTCTGAAACTTCACATCCATCAATGCCAATGTCCGTCAGACCATAGTCTTTCAGCAACTGCACGGGATCAGTGGGCAAGGCAGTTTCGAGGGAATCGGAATTAGTAAGGCCACCACAGCCAACCAGAACCACATTACTTGGAATCACTTGAGGATGTGGAAGAATACCATCAGCTTGCAACATGGACTCACACTCTTCACTAAGCGTGCAGGACATACTACCAGAATCCAGTAACCCCTTTAATGTGTAATGGCCACAAACTGTCACAGGAGCATAAAACAACTCACTTGCCCCATCAACTCTCTGAGAACCCACATATAACACGGTTTTGTCTTCTGGCAATGACTCGCAGCTGTTCACGAAAACATTTTGCACATCCACTGCTTCTGTGAGGGAGGTTTTATTAAAATTGCCCATGTTACCCCTCTCATCACATGAGCTATTCAGTTTAACTGAGCGGTATCTGAGGGAGTCACAGGGCATGCTGCTTTGGGGCAGTCACTCTTAAAGTGGCCAGGACTGAGACAGTGACGACATAGCCGGCGCTCCACTTCTCAGCTGGTTTAAACTGAAAAGACATAGCAAGACTTGGGTCTGGACAATGCAAAATAAACATCATGACAGCTTCTGCAGCACGATCCTCGACGCTCTTATGACGTCTGCGCAAGCACTCGTCAGCAACATCTATGGCCTTGTTAAGACGTATCCAGTAATCCATGGGACTTTCATCTGCCCTTGGGACAGTATTATAAAAGTCGGCCATAGGCATATTTGAGTAAGCCAACTCACTGAAGTTGCGTTTCAGTATATCAAACACCGCACTTGGAAGTTCACTGGCATTCAGTTCAGGGCGGCTTCGTAGGGACACCTTGACAACATCTCTCGCTTTTCCAGCCAGTCTGCTCATGATGAGATCAGAAACATCAGTTTGCGTTTTGGATTTCATTCTGCTTAAATAACTGCACATCATATCCTCCCATTCATGGACCGTAAACGAATCACTCTTATCGCCCCTGAAGAATGGTGGAGGTGCTGACTCTTGCTGAACTATCACCTTCAGACTAGATGCATCAGTACACTCACTGGAGTGCTGAGACTGGCAAGGAGGATTAGGCTGTACTGGGCTGGGCTGGTGCGCAAGATTAAGGCTGGCTGAAATACTCTCCCCTATTTTGTGAGCCAAATCTGAAATTATGCTTCCTAATGCCTCGGAAGAAATGACATGTTCAGTATCCGGGCGTCTGATTGGGGTGGAGCTAGCTGTTGGGCCTACAGAAGCACCGATTGCGGAATCAACTGCGTGCATATAGTCAAGACCCACATTAGCTAACGCTCTCCCTCTCCCATAACCATGAGATGTAACTTCAGACATCTTCCTGTTGTGATACATTTCAGGCCCACCGCCCCTGCCCATTGCAAAAGTTAAATTAGGTTGTTTCGTAGGGCTGAAATCGTCATTATCAATATCCTCAAACATGTCTCAAAAGCAAAGTAAACACACATAAAACATGAAAAATTACTACAAATGAATATGCCTCAAACAGCAAAACCTTAACTGATTCACAAATTTTCATATATATTTTATGTAAGATCCTGGAACTCTGAAATCAAACCAACTCAGTTAATTATCAGGATGAATGCAATTCAAAGATTCTCGTCTCTCTTTTCTTGATGGAAGTAAAATATTTTTTAAATGCATCAACAGTCAATCATTATATACTGTTCAGATAAAGGATACGATACTCGAATTTCAATGAAGCGTCCCGCGGTCCTTATCACACAGTCTCTCGATTAACACGCATCAACGAAGAGGAAAGATTCCAGGAGAGAAAAGTTGTCGATCAGGAAGTCAATTAAACTCTTTACCGTTCGTTTAAGATGAAACACTGACCCGCGTTATCATGGGCTGTTCATCTCACACACGCGCCCTCCTTATCCGCGAGCACGGAGCCGCTGCGAGCGATGGCGGTGAGGAAGACCGGGAGAGAAGATCGGTGAAGCAGGCGAGCCGTCATGCAACCCCGGCGATCTGCGAAGCGCTGATCTGGTGATCCAAAATGGTCACGGGCACCACGTGTGACCGGTGTAATCTGCGTTGTTTTTTTCTCAGAGTAGTAACCAAACGGACATCAGTTGACGGTTCGACTCTTCATTTACTGATAAAACATAAAACAGTCTTTACAGTGTGTTTTCGCCCTTCTTGTCTTTTCTCTCCCATGCAAAGACAGTGCAGAAAGGGAAGAGAAAATGGTATAAAACTGGCATACAAAATCAATTTAAGGACTGACAAAACCGCATACCTGATAAAACATAAAACAGTTTTTACAGTGTGTTTTCGCCCTTCTTGTCTTTTCTGTTAAATGAATGTAAAGTGCAACGCAATTAGTACGTGCTTCAAGTGTATTGATCGACAGAAAACTGATCAAACTTAATGAAAATACAGAAATAAATCAAATATACATCTAAAATAATGTCACAAATATGATTTAAACAGAGTATAAAAGTGCTTTTTAAAGCAAAGATGAAATTAGATTAATCAGAGCTCATTAGAAACCCACCTCTCCCATGCAAAGACAGTGCAGAAAGGGAAGAGGCGGCGCAACAGAGAGGAAATTAAGAATAACGCTGCTGTCAGAAATTGAAAGGGGAAGGTGCACACACAGACAGGCATATCAGGTATACATCAAGAACATTTGTGTAATTCTACGTATGAAATTAACATTACTTTCCATACCTGTTACACTTGCACTCTTATTTGTTTACTAAATGCTTATTTTCTATTATTATATTATTTGCTTATTTTATAAAAAAAAAAACTAACACTAGCTTCTCTAATCTTTTTGTATTCTATTTGTTTTCTTTTTATTTATTATGCAATTAACAAAAGCAAAAAAGGCCTCTAACACTATCTTGCACACTATTCTTTTTCTTTTCTATTCTATCTGTTTTCTTTTTATTTATTATATGATTTAAAAAAAACCTTGCTACATGTACTGCATTAAGCTAACTGAGACTTGTTATTGCACTTGCATATCATTGCTCTTTTGTTGATTTTGATTGCTTCCATTGTCCTCATTTGAAAGTCGCTTTGGATAAAATCGTCTGCTAAATGTAAATGTAAATATTATTACAATTTAAAATAACTTTTCTATTTGAATATATTTTAAAATGTAATTTATTCCTGTGATGCTTTTAAATGTGTTGCATTTTTATAAAATATTTTTTTTCTGTTCCTTTAATTCAAACATTGCAGCACTTTATGTGCACTAAAAGGAAATTGGCTGCTCAAAATAACCTGAAGCTGCAGGTTACCGTTTGCAAGCTGAACATTGTTTGCCTTGTCATTACAGCTACAATTATGTGATGGTTGATGTTATATTAAATGGTCTGTGATTCTGTTGCATCTATGCTAATTTGTTTATATTTGTGTATGTTGTCAGTAGTGCCAGTATTCATTACATTTTGCTTGTACTCTATATCCCATCAAACCTGAAGCAATTTCATAGAATAAACAACATGTCAAATACATAATACACCATATCTCACTACTAAATGCTTTTGCTTATGCCTTACTATTGTGTATATATATATATGTATATGTATATATGTGTCTGTTTATCTTGCATCATTTTGACCAGAAATCTGTTTTGTTTGTGCAGGGGCTATCAGCAGATCTTGCTGTCGAAGAAGTTTATTCAAGTGTTAAAACTGCAATAAAATAGTATCTGAACACTTTTTGTGTCATTCACCTTTTTTAATTAAATGTTGGGAAAACATTTCTTATGAAATTTAAATGTTTGCTACTTTTTCTTTGTGTTTACTCACATTTTTAAGTAAATCTCCAGAAGTATCATTTAGATGTTATAAAGAGCCAATTAAAGGTGCAGGATTTTTGCTTACATTAGCTGTCTTTATTAATTGTATCCTTTTTTTTCGACATTACACTGACACCTACTGGGCAGGATGTATGAAGTTTGTTTACTAGCTGCTGCTGCATCACGTTCTTGGATTAAATCTCAATCATTTTTTGTGTGTTGTAGGGTGTTTGAGCTCTTATGACTTCTTGTTGATCTTGTTTCATCACCCCCCAGCAGAGAATGGACATTTTTGCCATTTTTTGCTAGTTATACTCCTACGTTTTGGATCAGTTTGAGGATGTTGACTCAAGCTCCGTTATTGTGTCAGTAATGTCTTGTTATATTGTTTGATTTGCATTTGTTTACATGCATTTTTATTATTTTGCTTTGTAAAGTGCCATGAGCACTGGCTGAAAGCACTGCATGAATTTATTATTATTATTATTATTGTTATTATTATTATTATTACTAACGCAGTCAATTTGCGTAACACAGCTGAAGATCATGTGATCTCAACATGGCGGCAACCCATAAGAGGACGACCCCGCACCATGTAAAAGTATGGCGTGTTCTTCGACAGTGAGTGTCATATTTCTCAAAAGTGCTGTTCATTTATTTGTGGAAAAACTTTTGCTCCTTTAACGTGACCTCAGAAGTAATGCTGCAGCTTTGAAGCATTGCTAAAAAGGAAATTGTTAACTTTGTCTTCTTCACTCATTAAAATAACACTTTACTGTATTAAAAATAGCATATGTTCTGTTTTTATTCATATTGAGACTCCATAGTTTCTAAATCAACTCTTTGTGACGTTTAGTCAGTGAGCTATTGAATTAAAAGAAAGTTCTTTATACAGTGAGGTCACTCACGTCCATCAGGAATCCTCCTAGCTCCTGATTGGTCGATGGGCGCTGTTGAACGAACGGCACCTGTGACGTCAAAGGTGAAGTTATCTGGTGATTTAGTGATCAAGGAATATGGCAAGCCGTATTAGCATTAAATACCTCTTTCTGTACTAGTCATAATTTAGTTTTGACTAGTCAAAATTCCAATTCCAGATATCTATTCTGCAATTTTGACTCGTAATTGGAATTAAGATATCTACAATGTGATTATGACTAGTCATTATATTCAATGAAGATATCTACAATGTTATTTTGACTAGTCATACTGTTCCATTGACTTCCATTGGAAAATATTTTCTGATATCTAAAAGAGTTTTGACTAGTAGAAATTGTAATTAAAGATATCTATAATTGATTTTGTACTAGGTATAATTCTAATTAGAGATGTCTCAAGTTACAATTTAACTAGTGATAATTAAATTAGAGATATCTCTAACTGAATTAATACTAGTAAAAATGATCATGATATCTCTAACTGGTGTTTGATAATCATATTGCAGATATCTTTAATTCATAATTTCTTAAGGATATCCAAAATACATTTGTAGATATCTGAAAGTAATTTATTACTAGTCAAATTATCGCAAGATATGCGGCGTCTATTGAAGATATCTATGACGTTATTACAGATATCTTAAATGGAGTTTTGACTAGTCATAAAGTATTTAGAGATATCTCTAATCAGATTTCTTACTAGTGCAATTATAATTGCAGATATCTCTAATTATCATTCTGACTAGTCAAATTATAATTATGACTAGCCGAATTACAATTGTAACTATCTGAAATATATTTTATGGATAGTCAAACCAAAGTTTTAAATGCTAAAACGGCTTGCGGTCAAGGTTATTTTCTTAAACGAAAACTAAGGCGAAAACGATTGGTCAAAAAACATTTTCGTAAACTGAAATAAAAAAATTAATAAATGAAAAAATAAAACGGAATGAAACTAACAACAGTTATTGCAAAACTAACTGAAATAAAATAATGATTATCAAAAATAAATAATCGTTTTCGTAATCATTACGTTCTCACCCCCTGGTGGAAAAATACAGTGCAGGCAAATAAAGCTCTCAAAGTAAAGGAAATAGGAGGGATTAAAGTTGTCAGCACAAACAGAGTTGGAACTAGAAGTAAAACTAGGGGTCAAAAAGGGATTGTTTTCAGTGTTCCTCTTAACATAGGAATGGAAGAATTTAAAAGTAATCTAAAGGGAGGAAAAGTAGTGAATGCTTATAGGCTAAAGTCAGTTGTTGAAGGGATTAGGAAGGACACTGAAACAGTAGTGATAGAATTCATAGGGGAGGAAATTCCAAAAAGAGTGATGTTGGGGGTAATGAGTTATATCGTAAGAGAGTTTATACCGGGACCAATGAGATGTTTTAATTGCCAAAGATTTGGGCATGTTGCTACAAGATGTAGAGAACAGTGTAGATGTGTGCGATGCGGGGGAAAGCATGAATATGGCAAGTGTGAGGAGGGAGTAAAACCAAAGTGTTGCAATTGTGGTGAGGGTCACAGTGCAGCCTTTAGAGGATGTGAAGTGTTAAAGATGGAGATGGTGATTCAGAAAAGGAGAGTGAAGGAGAAGTTAACTTATGCTGAGGCAGCAAAACTGGTTAGAGACAAAAATACAAAGCAAAGTGTTCAGCCAGTAGCATTGGGAGTGATCACTATCCAATATTTACAACTTTGGATATACAGCTGGAGAGATCATCAGCACAAGGAAAAGAAAGATGTGTATTTGAAAAAGCAAACTGGGCTAAATTTGAAGAAACTGTTCAGCCAGGGGATACAGTTAGAGGAAACAAAGACGTTTCAGAAGATTATATGATAGTTGAAAATAAAAAAATTGGTGACATTTATTGCTGGAGTTATTAATAGTACAGCGGGGATTGAATCAGAAACTCAAAAAATACAGGTAGTTGTAATAGCAGCAATACGTCATCTTGGATTGGTGGGTTTGACCTGGGTTAGTTAGGGATGAACTTCAGATAAGGTCAAGTCAGGATACAAACGGGTAACACTTATGAAGGTTTTTCAGTGGAATGCTAGATCCCTGATAGCAAATGGTCAGGAGTTCAAGCATTTTATTGAGGAATGTTATATAAAACCGGATGTAATTTGTGTTTAGGAAACTTGGTTGAAATGTCGTTTGGATTATGTTTTACAGGGATATAATGTAGTACGTCATGATAGGGAAGAAGGGAATGGTGGAGGGTGTGCAACATTTATTAAACAAGGAACAAGAAATTAACAACTTAAATGATAACATTTGTGCCATACTGATTGAAGCAGCGTCGGAAACAATCCCAAAAAGTAAAGGAAAAAAGACAAAGAAAGCTGTTCCATGGTGGACAGATGAGTGTGGTAAAGCTGTGAGAGCTAGAAATAAGGCTTTTAAACTTCTAAAGAGAACGCATAATTATAATAATTTAATATTATACAAGAAAGCTCAAGCAGTGGTAAGACAAACTATAAGGCAAGCTAAAAGAGATAGCTGGCAAAGCTTTTATAGTGAGATTGGGAGAACAACGTCAGTGGGTGACGTGTGGAGTATGATAAAAAGAATGGGAGGCAATAAAAGAGAGTGGGTATATCCAGTATTAGAAACAGAAAGGGAAATTGTGGTAACAGACAAGGACAAAGCTACGGATCCATGGGTCAGGGAATTTGAGTGAAGAAGGAAGGAGGAGGAGGGAAATAACAAAGAGACAACATCTAGAAGATCTAGGAAAAAATGGGGAAATAGAAGATCAGTCAGTTAACCTCCTGTTTACTCTAGATGAACTGAAAAGAGCAATTAGTAATTTAAATAATACACTGTCATCTCCAGGAAAAGATCAGATCACAAATATAATGTTGAAACATCTTAAAGATGGGGCTATGGGCAAATTTTTAGATTTGTATAATAGAGTATGGGAGGAAGGAAGATTACCAAATGCTTGGAAAGAAGCTATAATAATTCCAATAAGAAAGCCTGGCAAAGATCCTTCTAAACCATCTAATTATAGGCCAATAGCTCTTACTTCGAATATATGTAAATTAATGGAAAGGATGGTTACAGACCGTTTGACATATTTATTGGAAAAGAGAGGAATATTAACTAAATATCAAAGTGGTTTTAGAAAGGAAGAGGAACAATGGACCCTGTTGTATGTTTGGAAAATGAAATTAGAAAAGCTCAGGTAAATAAAGAGTCAGTAATTGCAGTATTTTTCAATGTTGAGAAAGCATATGATATGATGTGGAGGGAGGAACTTTTGATAAAACTGAAAATGATGAATATAGATGGAAGAATTTACAATTGGATTAAAGATTTTATGGCGTACAGAAGTATACAGGTGAGAATTGGAAATGAATTGTCAAACAGGTGTGAGACAGAAAATGGAACTCCACAAGGGAGTGTTATAAGTCCATTAATTTTTTCCATAATGATTAATGATGTATTTAATCAAGTACAGCAAGACGTAGGTCGATCTCTTTTCGCTGATGATGGAGCTCTATGGAAAAGGGGAAGGAATATTTTGTATATTAATGGAAGGATGCAAGAAGCAATTCGACGGGTAGAAGAATGGGCAGGTGATTGGGGATTTACATTTTCAGTAGAAAAGACTAAGACTATAATTTTCTCTAGGAAAAGGATTATACCAGAAATAAACTTGAAG